AAACCCTGCCACTCCTCCTGTTTCGCCAGCTTCTGGCTTTATCTCTTGCCCTTTTTAACCTCTGACTCTTTGTGTTGGTTCATGATAGTTGGAGTTAGACCCCTGCCCAGGGGTCACTGTGGAAAAGTGGACAGACTAGGTTCTCCCACATGGCCAGCTGCCTGTCACTGCCCCCATTTCCTATGGGTGCTTTGAATAATATCTAACAGGGACACAGCACCTGCCCATGCCAGGTACTGTTCTCACCACAGATGAGGTAGGTGCTGTTATCACCTCCGGTTTACAAATGAGGAAGCAGGAGCTTAGTGAAGTTATTTCTTGTCCAAGGTCACGTAACTAGTAAGTAAGTAGAGGTGCAAAGAGTCTGTATACAGGGTCTGGGCCTTGAACCCTTTATCTCCACTGTTCTCCTTTGGTGATTTACTGTGATCATTGAGTAAAATAGCCATGGATGGTGGAGGTGGAAATTCAGATGGAGTGTTCCCAGTTATATGGGAGCAGGAATTGTCCTTTAAGTCCTTTAACCAGATCAAACGTTGTGGTGATAGAAAAGCACACTGGGAAAGAAGGTAGAAGTGTGGGTAAGGAAAGGGGAAAGTCTAGGGAGAACAGTATTTTGGGACGAGAAACCTGTAAATCACATAATTAAAGATGTTAACGGTCATGAGCATACGGCCAGTAGAGAACGCGAGCCTCCCAAGCTGTCTGCCCTGCTTCTTTGAAACATAACGGTGCTTGGAGGATGTGGGATGAGAAATGACAGAATTCTTAGAACTGTTCAGTGATGAGACATCTGATACCGGAGTGAAGGGCAAAAGCTCATGAAAGAATCATGAGGGACACAGACATACTTTATTCAGGTCCATGAAGATGATAGGATGATAGCTTATCCTTTGAGTCCTAAGCCTACTTGTTAAATTTGGAGTTGATAAAATACAGCCAATTTAACTTTTCTTACCTCATTCAGCTGCATCTGTTAAAACACAGACATTCATCTTGGGTGGCTCTTTAGCCGGGTTTGTTTTTTACTGAAATAAAATTTCTGGCACACGATAATGGAAAAAAAAAAAAAAATCCAGAGTTTCATCATATGCAGTGTACTGTTTTCTACACTGGAGAATTTTGAGTGCTTTGGAAATAATAAGACTGTTTCCACAATTTCCTGCTTTCCACTAGGTTCTTGGAACGCCAAATGAGGACACTTGGCCTGGAGTCCACTCTTTACCACATTTTAAGCCAGGTATGTTTCATTAATTACAAATGACTACGTGCTTCCTGTATGCCAAGGGTGAAGGTATAAATGTTCCCCCTCAAGTGAATATATTACCTTGAAAAATTCTGGTTACTTTCTCCATTGTGTATTTCTCCATTGCATATTAGTGGAGTTCTTTTATTTTCACATTTTATTTGTCTGTAAAGATAGAATAAATGATATCCCTCATGAGAGATTTTCAGTTCCTATAAAAACAAAATTTAAATTGGAGTGTGACAATCTGTGTGACTTCTTGTAAATACTAGGAAAAGTATTAAGTTGTAAAAAGGAAAACATCACATTTTGATTTCTTTTTTAAAAACTAGAAATTTATGGTTAATTAATTTGAGTTTAAACATATGAAATATTCTGAGTGTCCTATTGTACAGCCTTCAGTCTTTTTTAATGTATAATATTTAAACACGTAAACTGGAAAACCTGAAAGAAAAATGCAGAATTTATAAAAATAAACTGTTACTTTTTATCGCCAGTAGGTGGCAGTCAAGAAACTTCCAATTTTAATGATCATACTAAACAGGAAGAATCTCAAACTTGGTTTATTTAACTTTTATAGGAGGGATGAAAGGTTTGGAATTGGAAACTTAATAAAAATCAGTGGAGTGAATTATTGTAAAATGATTCTCTTGTTGGTTTTTATTTTTTTACTTGGGTTACAAAACATGCATTATAAAATGCAGACCCACCATAAAATTACTGAAAGGGATTTTTTGGGAAGATCTAATAGTTCATTATTTTATGAGGGAAAAGAGCTATGAATAATTCCTGTTATGGGAACCAAGTGTATTCTTTTTCCCCTCTTCCTCTCTTTTGGGGGACTGTCAAGAATAAATTATCAATCCCCCAAAAATGACTGCATTGGGAAACTATTTTTATTCTTAGTGTTTTTCTTCTGAAAGTGTAGAGTGTGTACTGAGAATTCTTTTATCTTCTTCAGTGCCCGAAGGACTCTCTGTACTTTAAAAGTTTTAACTAACTTCTGTGTTCTAAAAGACTATAGCAACTTAACAGTTTAGATGGACTTTTTTTCTTCTTTTTTGAGCCAAGCAAGAGTCATCCTTTAACGGCTCCAATTGTCCCTGTTGAGTCTAAGTGACAACACAGCTCTTTATAAATGTTTCAAATGTGGGCCCTCAAAGAAGGTTAGCTTCCCCGTGTTAGTATCTAAAATATAAAATCCTAAAGAAATAAAACAAAGGAGAATATGAAAAAATCTCAAATGAATAAACATAAGAGCAGAAAGGAACAATTAAGGTAGGTAGGCATTTGGCCTGCCAAGTTTCTGCACTAGAAAACATTGAGTAATTTGTTGACTTTGGTGTGAATAGAGTATATCTTCATCAGCAACATTCAAAAGCATTTATTAAATGTGTCCTGAAAAGTAATGTGGTATAATAGAAAATAAGCTAATCGATTCATAACTTGAGATCAGAGACTGTGCATAATACATGTTTTAACATTCAACAGATACTTGTTGCCCTGAATTGTATTGAATGATTAAAACAGATATTATTTATGTGACTCTTAGGATATATACGTCTTAAGTTATTTATATGATGTACAAGTGTCATTTCAGACACATAATACAGAATAGGTAATGGGGGTACAGAGGAATAACGTGTAGATGGTGTAAGGCGTGGGAGCTGACAAACAAGAAAGACATTATGGGCAAAGCTGGAGGCTTGAGGATAAGAGCAGACGTGATAAATGCTTCCTGAGTTGGCTTGAGAAGAGCCAAGGGAAGACAAGAAGCCAACCTATGAGTTCTTTCATGCAGCCCAGGAACCAGACCACCGGGAGGTCCTAGTTTCTGTCAGCCTGGACTTCATCCTGGAGGGGAAGGTGCACATTTCCAGAGGAGAAGTGTATCAGTTGTAGGGTCCGTCTGTCCTACCCCGAACCTTTACCTCCTTATTCTGCCCCAAAGAGTGCTTGAGAGAGTCTGAGAGAAAACAAAAATGTCTGAGCCATGAGGACATACTTTGTTTTGTTTGGTTTAATAGACTTTATTTTTTAGAGCAGTTTTGGTTCATAGCAAAATGAAGTGGAAGGTACAGAGATTTCCCATACACCCCTGCTCCCATACATGCACAGACAGAGTCCCCATGAGCAACGTTGCCACCAGAGTGGTATATTTGTTATATTGATGAGCCTTCATTGACATGTCAGTATCACCTAAAGTCCATAGTTTATTTATTTTTTTTAAAGTATATCTTTATTGGCTTTCTCCTACCTCCCTAATCTATCACCAATGGATTTCATGTAAGCTACTTACAGTACACTCACAAAAATTCTTAAAGAGTATATCTTTATTGGTTTCAGGGAGAGGAAGGTAGAGGGAGAGAGAGAGAAACATCAATGATGAGAGTCATTGATCAGCTGCCTCCTGCACACCCCCGACTGGGGATCGAGCCCACAACCCAGGCATGTTCCCTGACTGGAAATCAAACCTCGATATCCTGGATCCTAGGTCGATGCTAAACCGCTGAGCCATGCCGGCCAGGCAGAAGTCCATTTTTTACATCAGGATTCATTCTTGGTGTTGTATATTCTATGGGTTGGGGATGCATGTATAATAACATGTAACCCCCACTATATTACCATACAGAATAGTTTCACTGCCCTAAAAATCCTCTGTGCTCTGCCTTTTTATCTCTCCCTCTGTATCTGCTTGAAGAATTTCACATTTATTTTCACTAGAGGTCATCAGTAATGATGGAGACTAGCAGAGTGCCTAGAAAATGCCAGAGAAAATGTAGTAAGATTAAGTTTTCAAGAAATGAAGTTCTAATACAACCTTAACAACGACAACAACAAAAATCCTAAGGAGACTGGTTTCATATTCCTAATCTTGGAATTTTGTAAAATTCGGTTTTCAAACTTCATCTCACTAAAGTTAATATGGAATGCCAACCACTAAATAAAGACTTCTCTGTCTCTTCAATAATCCAGGCCTCCTCAAGAGGATTAAAGCCCTTGATATTGTCCAATTTGTGTGATTCGATTAATATCCTACCTAAGAAAAGAATTAGAGTTTTAGCTTAAGGGTGGAGATTAGAATTAAATGAAGACACAAATAATTTTCAGAGATATGGAACGAATTGTCATCTCCTTAAAAGTGGAACATTTAAGTTGTTCCATACCATAAACAACCATACACTTTTTATTACTTTAATTGGTAAGTTGATGTTTTATATTTATCCTGCTCCCAGTGCACCCGCAAGATATGTAGCCAGAAACCTATGCATTGCAAAAAGTCCTAACTCTGAACTTTTAAACATCTTTCTAAAACATAAAAATCAAGATCTCAGAAAGGGGCACAAGAGGATTGGAAGTTTAGATCTAGAACCAGTACACAGGATTCCCATATTCAAGTTGGGTCCTGACGACAGTACCTTGAGTAGGAAACTGTCTCCAAGGAAGGAGTGGAACTCCACAAGTTCAAAGCCTTGTGCAGTCGACCATCTAGAGCAGTGATTCCACATTGCTGTGACTATGTGGGTGAACCAATGAACCAAGGGTAGGGTGAAAGAAGGCTTTTCTTTCCTCTGTCTCTGGGACTTTGGAAGCACAGAGCACAGCATGGTATTTGTATCTGAGAACTTATGTAAATTTTTGCATTTGAGAATTCTTAGAAACACAGAATAATGGTAACAAATTCAAGTGCTGGTTGGCGATACTCTGCATTGTTTTTCACTGTTTGCCAAGTGCTTTCACGTGCACTATGTCACAAGGTCCTCAAGGGGCAGGTAGGCAGAAAGATGAAGCTGAAGGTAGTTGAGGAAAGCCCTTTGTCACATTCCAAGTAGCCCTGGGCCAGAAGCAGATGTAGCAGTCAATTCTGAGTGACAGTGCTCGTGAGTAGTTGTTAATTGCTAATGCCTGTGTGGTGAGCTGGCTTAGCTGATCTTGTCTTGGTTCTGCAGGGCTTGCCTCCAAGCTGCAGGTTCAGTTCCCGTCTTTCCACGCATACCTCCTGGGAACAACAGATACGAAAGAATGCGTGCTCTTCTAGTGGCAAGAGACTGGAGCACAAGGGGCAGGCCCATAACCACAGGCACATTTCAAGCATAATTAATCCTTGCCTTGTCCTGCTCGGAACATGAGTCATCCCTTTGTCCCATGTAGCCACAACATCTACTCCACTGTATATAGTCACTCAGTAGTTTATCAGCTGGACTGTCCTGTAACACGGAGCTTAGGTACTGGTAAATCTTATTTTACTTATTATTGGCCTCAAAGCGTAAGAGTAGTGATGCTCACAATTCAGATATGCTAAAGTCAGTGCCACTAATATATCATCAATTACACAAAACATCAGTGGGGCAGAGAAGTAGACCGCACTCATGAAGGTGAGAGAGGGAGAGAGGAAATATTTGCTGAATAACTAATGTCCTACGCTAGGTCTTCTAACTTAGCAGCCTTGTTGGCTACTCCTGGCTAAAATAAGTGAATCAGATCCATTTCTGTTTAAAATTATGTTGATTTTATAACCCCTTTAAGCCATTATCATAGGGCTTCTGCTGCAAAACAAAGGCATAACTATGGAATAATAACTTATGCTAATAGATAGGTGGGAAAAAAAATCTTGGTTTGTGTGAAGATGCGAGTAATATTTTACATCCCTCCGCTCCAGATACTCAAGTCAGACCAATCGGGTGATAAACTGACTGTTAATAATTAGCTCAGTTGTAAGACCTGATGTAATTTTCTTCCCTTACACGTGTCCTTGATTCTGTGCCATCAGAAAGCCGTTGTAGCTAACAGACAATAATGTTTGCAATGGAGATTATTTTAAAAGGACATAAGTATGTATATACACAGATGCTTTTGCCTCTAGAGCCAGCTTTGTAAACCCAATTAGTAATCTCTTGACTGTAAAAAACGACAATCGATGCTCTCTCAGAATGCCGGCCCTCGCTCTCTGCTAGGGCATTAGAGTCACAGGATTACATATAAGGAGTTAGAAG